GAAGGAGTGGCTTTACAACAACTCTGTGACTGTTCTTGAATGGCCCAGCCAGAGCCCTGACTTAAACCCCATTGAGCATCTCTGGAGAGACCTGAAAATGGCTGTCCACCAACGTTTACCATCCAACCTGACAGAACTGGAGAGGATCTGCAAGGAGGAATGGCAGAGGATCCCCAAATGCAGGTGTGAAAAACTTGTTGCATCATTCCCAAAAAGACTCATGGCTGTATTAGCTCAAAAGGGTGCTTCTACTAAATATTGAGCAAAGGGTCTGAATACTTATGACGTGATATTTCAGTTTTTCTTTTTTAATAAATCTGCAAAAAATGTCAAACATTCTGTGTTTTTCTGTCAATATGGGGTGCTGTGTGTACATTAATGAGGGAAAAAAATGAACTTAAATGATTTTAGCATATGGCTGCAATATAACAGAGTGAAAAATTTAAGGGGGTATGAATACTTTCCGTACCCACTGTAATCCAATATAAATTTGCTTATACCTAGTACATTCAAATTCTCCCATTCAAATGAATGGGAAAGTCTTGGAAAAACCTTGACCTCTTTGAACATTGTTTCCGGCATATTTTAGGCTAGAAACGCCATTTCAACTGTATTCAACTCGTGACAAATTTATCTACTGATGGTGCAAGAATCTTCTATGGTTTTTGTATACTCGCCATTTATATTTTGTGTACTTCTCCATTCAGTTTGAATGGCTCCATTGACTTGAATAGGCACACTCTGCATCACGTGACCCCCCCGTTCTAGCTTGCCTGTCTGTTTTTCCAACTACTCCTTGTTTTTCTGCTTCTATTATGCTATCCTTAAATTTTATACACATATAATAGATGAAAATCATAGAGAAAATTGTCAACAATCTATCTATACCATTGTTATTGTGATGGGATGAACGGTATTTGTGTAATTTTGCAGATTCCAGAGAGAGTGCCGTCTCACTGTTCCCTCACTGTGGGTGCGCTCACAGCAGAGAACTCAGTCTGCTGACTATTTTTTACAAGTTAATCCTTTTATTGAAATACAATGGACTTTTCTGAACAAGTCTGGCAAAAGGATTATATCAGAACCGAACTGTTGCGAGGTTGCTCACTGCTGCTCACAGTGAAGAGATTTTTTCGAAAGGACTTTGTTGAGCAGGACTTTTTGAATACGATGACAACACGGCTGTTCTTCCAAACACAGAGAACTTGCTCTGCTAGACAGCAGCTTAATGTCTTTTTTCCAAACACGTTGGACTTTCAAAGAACTTGCTCTGCTAGACAGGAGCTTAATGCCTTTTTTTCCCAAACACGTTGGACTTTCAGAGAACTTGCTCTGCTATACAGCAGCTTAATGCCTTTTTTTCCAAACACATTGGAATTTTGTAATCAAGCGTGAACGAAGAAGGATTATATCATTTGAATGGAGAAGTAGACAAAATATATAT